TAAAGAACCCCAGAGGAGAGAGATGTGCCTGCCGTGTGCTGGAGTCAGCAAGCCCAATCCTGAAACCTTGAGCCCAGACAACTGGGGGAAAGGTGGCGCCGCTGGCCTGACTTCATCTACAGGCTGCTTGGATGGAGAATCCCTACCCAGAGAAAACAGCCTGTAGTATAATATGCAGCATCTCTGGCACAGATCTATTCCCAATAAATCATATTAGCACTAAGAGAGACCTCGAAGTTCTTTACCCATGAAAAGAATGATAAATGTAATGAAAAACAAAAACATCTTTGTTTAAAATAATACCTAAAAGAGGCTAACTACTCATTCCACGACTGTAATTGTTGCAGCACAGCATTAGCCTAACCTCCCTATTTGCAACCCTATTCAAATGTTAATTTTGGTTCATGCTGTTAATAGAGGAGGAACGTCATGCCAGAGAAAATCTCTTTTGTTTCAGGGTGTGGAAAGCAATTACCTGACCTGTGAACTCCCTTTGCATATGCAGTCTAAAAGACCATCACCACACCCATTCCCAGCTCATGATCCCAAATCTGCATGAATATGCATTTTTAGAAGAAATTCCAATTCACAGTAGAGAAAATTAATGTGTTTGAACTTTAACAGAACTACCTACCATTTTTTTTCTAATGCAAAAACTTAAGATACTGCTTAAATAACATTCTAGTTGAACTTGGGCTGAATTCCAAGAAGCATTTCGCCAAGACTGCTCGTATTTGTTTAAATTGACAGCAACTAGTGCAGCACCCAGTGTCACAGATGTCATTATGAGCTGACATTCTTGATAATGCACTACTTACTTTGATTCCTGCAATATGTCCGCCAGGTATGAAACGGATCAAATGAATAGTTCTTAAGACAAGCAAAGCACTTTGTAGTTTTTTAGGCAGATATCAGAGGATGCCAACTTTCTCAGAATTTCTGAAAATACTCTCAAACTGAGCCCAGGTCCTGCACTGTTGGTGACCTGCATGAGCCCACCTTTTCCATTATATTTACCCCAAATCAGCCCAGTTAAATTCCCTTCCATTTTGCTCATCTACTGCCAGCTCCACCTCAAACTGCTGGGCTCCAGTTTAATCACCTCTGTATGTGTGTGTGGAGGATGGCGGGGGTGGAGGCAAAAACCACACATTACATCATGTATTTACTTATCCAGGTTAGCTAGTGAGTGACATGGAGAGTGGAGCTGGGGGTGAAAGGTGAAGGATTCAGGAGTAAATGAGTCATGACCAAAACCAAAGGGTTGGATTCTGGGGACAAGGTTGCTTAAACACCAAAAGGCGCACAACACCGACACAAAGACTCTGGCGTATCTGCGGTTTGAGCGTAAGAGCGCTAAAACTTTTCACTTGAGCTTCATGTGATTGTTGCAGACAAATTTCTAAACTAATCCTCTGAGACTTCCCAGATGTACACATTTTAAACATAACCCCATAATGTTTCCCAGAATACAGAGTAAGCACTTTGAGATTATTTGCTATTAATGAGAACAATTAGGGGCTCAGGCTTTTGGTAGGATGCCAACTACTGTTTTAACATTTTTTCCTTCCTTGCAAGTGGAATTTGAGCTCTCCAAATTGCTTCCCTTTAGTAACAATGCAGTAAACACCCTCCAATCCTCTCTCAACCATCTGTGCATGGTCAACATCACCTCAGTAACTGCTCGTGACATGTGCTGAAGATTGGCCTTGTAGCGCATCCAACTGCTCCACCTTAGCGAGGTGGTGCAACTCAGAGAAACCGAGCAGATCCGGGGAGGGCAATCTGCAGACCGTTCCATTTAGTGTGAGCGTGGGATTTCTTTATTTCAGTGGGGGGATCCATCATTATGATGCAGTTGGTGGCTAACAGTGTGAAACAGAGTTTAAAAGAAAGAGGGACGGGATGAAAAAAGTAAAAGAAAGAAAAAAAAATTAGGTCAAAAGTAGAGATCAGTGGACGAGCTTCCACTCATTTGTCTGCTATGTCCCAGAAACCTTTCCCTGTCTGTTGGAGTGGCGGTGTCCCCGCGCGGGAAACATCAAGCACATTCCAAGAGTAGGCCCAATTACGGGCAGATGAGGGGCAGTTCTCTTTGTTTAAGAACAAAGCCAGAAGTGACACAACTGATCTTTAAAGGGAGCCATGGCTGGAGGGTTGTTGGGTGTGTGTGTGTGTGTGTGGGGGGGGGCATCAGTGGGTAGAGGAGGTGACCAGGTGGTTATAAATATCTATTTGGTCAGTTACTGGAAGGGAAAATGTGCAGTTTGTTTGTCATCCACTCATCCAGGTGGTGGGCCTGGTGGTTTCAAAACATCAAAACAGGGGGAGAGAGAGCAAGAGAGAGAGAGAGAAAGAGCAACCTGTTTAGACTAATTCTTATATGAAAGCCACATGTCATCCTCTAGTGTAAACCTGCAGTAAGAGAAAGCTCTTGGCAAGATCTGGTTGCATATTTAACCTGGTAATTATTCTGGTCATACACATTACCACAAAGGGAATTATCCTTGCACTTATGATTACGCGATGTTTGAGCAATTTTTTAATGATTATTACCAATATGAGAATGCTCATGTGGAGTTGACTATAATTTGGGAGGGGGGGGGGGGCAATTTTCCATAATGCAATGTATAAGTAAGCAACAAAAATGACAGAAAGAAGTAAAACACATTTATGGTTTTATAAGACAATGTGTCGTGGCTCAAATAGTCTTCATATGCTGCTTTTATATGTCTCTATTGCACTCGGGAAATCCACAGTTCCTCCGGAAGCTGATTCTGTGCGGATGCCCCCCCTTTTACAACCACCTCTCAAGCCTATAGGGGTTGTTAATTTGATACTAAAAAGACAGAATTTGGGTGGAGTAACACTTTAATAACTCACATTGTGCAAGTAGTTGTTGATGGCCAGAAGAAAAGAGTGCAGAGGGGCGGGACGAGCTTAAAGTTTAATTCCCACTCTGCAGTAAATTAGAACACAGCAGGGTAATGTCTGTTTATTCCAAATACAGCTGCATGGGCCTCTCTCCTATCTCTCTCTGTCTCTCTCTCTCTCTCTCTCTCTCGCTCGCTTCTCTCCCCACAAACCACACCACGGCCCCAGGATCACCTGGACCAGCAGTATACACACACAAGTATTGCTAAACAAAACACACATTGTGCAAACACGCGCACTCTGCCTAAATAAACAGGCACATGCATACATGCACGCATAGGCAGATACAAACTCACACTGCACTGATGCACTCTCATACAAACACACCAGTTAGCACTATAACAGATATATTATAATCCACGTTGGGAAGTAGCCAGCAGTCCAAATAGTTCAACTCCTTTTTCTTTTTTTTTTTGCTGTTTTCATGTAGTTAACCACTGAAATGAAAAGCTATTGTGGGCCATAAAATTATTATTATTATTTTTTATTTGCTTTAGCATTAATTCTCTGATGTAATCTAACTGTCTTTGACAACCCCCGCCCTCTCCGCCTGTTATGATACTGACCATAAAGGCATGAAGACATGCCCAGGCAGTGCATCTTGGCAGACACCACCACACTATGTAGAACATGTGCAAAAGGGCAGGCACTAAGTGTTCACATAGTGAAGATGTGGATGAATGGGTAAACTCCTCAAAAGTATTGCTTACTGCTGGGCTATTCATTAGCAAATGTTCAGAGAAGCCATTGAAGAGAAGTTACCTGGCTAGAAGGACATGCTTGCCTGATGGACATAGTACAGAAAACTAAAACTAGGATTCCTTTCGTGTTCCTATAAATAAATAGGTGTTTGATTTTATTTCTTTTGCATTTATTTCCCTGCAACATGGCCAGGGTGTGCCCCATCCCTTGGCTGGTGAAAGCAGGGATCCAGCCCACCAATTCCCCTGAATTGCATAAGCATTTTAAAAAATGGATGAATTTATTTCAGGTTGTAATTTTGTTTGCCTCCACTCTGGTAACAGATGTGGCCAGAGGCCTTGTGCATTCATCTCATTCTCATCAATGTGATATCTGGTTTTTTTTTAAAGAAAAAGAATGCAGCTAAATTAAAAAAAACAAAAAAACAAAAACTAAACTAACAGCATGGTACCAAGATTTCTGATTAGATACATTTAGCTTTAAGACTGACTTGAACTCAGGGATGAAGTGATTAGAACTGATGGTCAAAGGTCAGGATCACTGATACTTTATATTATTAAAAAGAGATATGAACACCATACCTTTAAAAGATATTCCCACATGTATTATTTTGAAGATGGTGGTAGAGATAGCTGTTGACACATTGATGCAAAAAAAAAAAAATCATATATAGGTGTTCAAAGGACTAGAGATCTGATGACTGAAAGGCAGTCAGCAGGCACCATTTTTGTTGTAATTACTTTATTAACCTATATTTTGCACAGACACCAAATAAGGCAACATCTGAACTCAGAGTCAGTGTAAATTAGCATAGACTTGTTCAGAGTGATGACCTGATGGTCCTCTTTCAGGATAACAATGGCCCCATCCACAAGGCACGAGAGGGGTACAGAATAGTCTGATGGATCTTAAAATTAGGTGACCTGCTATGTCCTTTTCAGCCACCAGATCTCAAGTCATTTGAACACCTATATATGATTTTTTATTTTTTTTTGCATTAATGTGTCATATGTGTCAGACTTTTAAAGGGCATTCAACACTGTCAACTGTTTCTATTAATATGTCCCTATAATAGTTAATTGTGTATAGAAATGTGTTTTGAAAGTGTAAACTTGCAGTTCCTTAAACAGTTCCTAAAGCGGTGATATTAGGAATCTCTTTAAAATGAACAAGTCTTTACTGTCATCTAGTGGGAATTAGAGCATTGTCACGATCATTGCAATAGACTCGTGCCCAACGGCTATTATAGGTTTCTATCTCCATCTAGTGCACGATAAGAACAATTCAGTTTTTAAACAGAGGGCGGAGTGACGTAATGTTCTCACAGTTTCTACGTGCGCGTTCATGGATCCCGTGACCTGTTGTCAAGCACACGCATGCTAGCGCACTACGCGAGATTTGTTTGTCAACGAATGAATCGGAAATTCCACAGTGACCCGGAACACTCAAAGTATAGTGACGGTAATATTTACTCTTGTCAAGCAGCGTCACAGCAAGTCGATAACAGGAAAGTGGTTTGACATGTTTTTATTTCACTTAAAGGGCAAGAAAACTCGTTTCTCGTTTTATCGCTGCAGATTCGCTAATACGCAATTCTCCGAGTTCTCCAGCCGGTATTAGCTTAGCCAGCTAGCAAGCTGGGCTAACAAGGTGATGTAGCGACCGCTGTGGTGCGCTCAGGAAATGTGATGGAAGTTGGTCTAGGCGTGTTTCTTTATGAAAGTTTCATTTTTGGACTAATATGAAGCCTGACGATAGCTGCCGCGGAGCAGTAACCGCTTTCTGAAGGTGCAGTGAGCACAGCGCTGAGGTCGGGTTTCTTGGATAGTTATGAGCAGCATCAACATTACAACCAAAATCCCTCAATTAAGCTCTTTTTATACTAAAAGGTCAGCGCTGACACTACCGGCAACAAAGAGTGAGTTTTGAGAAGCGATGTGTTTTCGTGCTGTCACGAGATGAGTCTCGACGATGAAACACTGCAGGCTGGGATGTCCTCAGTCCAGTCGGGACTGGAAGGGCAGCTGCCGCTTTTACACGCCAGACATCACAGCGCTCAAGGCGGTCTGGTGTTGGATCTGAACTCCCAGGAAGACTACCTCAGCAGTAGCTCTCCTGAGTATGACAACTATGGGAATAACACCGGTCCTCTGTTCGAGAGAAGAAAGAGATCTAGATCCAACAGCTCCAGACATAGATTCAACGAGGTGGTCACGGAGCTCGGTCCGGAGGAAGTGCGGTGGTTTTACAAAGAGGACAAAAAAACTTGGAAGCCCTTTTTGGGCCACGATTCACTTAATATTGAGCTAATGTTTCGGAAACACTGCGAGCTGAACCCCGGTGCAGCATGCCCCCAGGCCAGTGGAAGAGAGGAGGAGAGCGGGACTAGAGAGCTGGAGAGCACAGGGATGAACGGTGCAGTGCCAGCAGAAACGAGGACCAGCAGTGTGCACGGAGGCCGCGGGTCCTTGGACACATCCACCGTGTCCTCTGATGAGAGGGACGCTGAAAGCATTGAACTCAATGTAGAGTCAGTGTGTGTGCGAGGAGGACTCTATCAGGTTGATATAATACAGAGACAATGCTATCCTGTCTACTGGAAACGTAAGTATAATCACCCCAATGCAACCCAAATTAAATCACCTCTGCATCAGTCACATGTAAAGTAGCTCCTGGTAGAGAATAAGAAACACAACTTCTATTAGTCAAACCTCACGTAGATGTTATGAAAACTACAGAGATCTGCAATATATTAGCTTACAAAACACTTCACACTGTTCTGTAAAAGGTTCTAGTTTAAATGTTAAACCTGTAGCTGAGTATACATTTTCTGTAGACTTTTACTGTAGACTGCATAGTTGTCTTTTCTTTTTTTCTTTTTTTTTTTCTTGCAAGCTAAGTACTTCATCTGGCCTTTTTTTCTGGATGTCAGTGTATTGAGCTCAGCTGATCTGCATTAACTAATTCGTGGATATTTCCAGGAAAAGGCAGGGAACAAAGGAAGGCAGTTGCTATAGAGCTTCGGAAAACCTGACCTGAATGAATAGGGTTCATGGTTAACTGGGTCTTTTGAAGCTTAATTTCAAATGACATTTACAGAAGAGGTTATTTTCACAGTTGTTGATGCTGTGGATGCATTGAGACCCTCTCTGTGCTCTTTCAGTGTGGTCTGACGGCTACGTTAACAGTTAAGAATGTGAAATAGATACTAAAGGAGGACGTTTGAATAGTCATCCAAAGCATATCAGTTCACAAGTGAGAGATTAGTTTACACAATGGAACATGTATAAAGGTCATTGATATACTATAAGATAGAAAACATCAGAATATTTAGAAAATAAAAAAATAAAAATCAAGGTTGTGTTAAATAGTTCTTAGCTTTAGTTTGGCATATTGCCGACAAGCCTAACAAACTTACTTGACTGAACTGTACCTACTGTCAGTCTATGTGTCTACATTAGCTTTAGAACACTTTGTCTTTAAATAGAAATAGACAGACTTTGAACAGGCTCACTCTGTAGAGAGAGAGAAGTTCTCTTTCTAAGGCAGCCTAATTTAAGATCCTACACTCTTATTCACCACCAGAGAATTACTTAATGATGTCACTCAAGACTGTAATCAAACATGGCCTCTCTGCATTAACCACTGAGACTTTGCCCCCCAGGATTTGTCAGACTTGTTGAGTTACAACGAAAGGATTCAGTTTCCAGAAACCGACTTACTTTCATTTCTACTTGCTAAATAAAACAATATATTTATTCCTTGCCAAAAATTGAAATTTCATGATTCCCATCCATGCAGGAGCTATTTGTTTTGTTTTGGATTTGATACTAGATAATGGCTGTTGTCCTACAGAACAAGACCATATCCCAGTGATGAGAGGCCAGTGGTTTATCGATGGTACTTGGTTGCCATTAGATGAAGACGAAAGCGACCTCATCGAACGGGAGCACCTTAACCATTTCCGTGGGCAACACGTGCAGGATACCTTTGAGATGGATTTGGTTCCCAGGACCATTGATAGTAAAGATGGTGAGCTCTGGGGAAGGGCAAGGGCAGGACAGCCTTAACCTTGGTGCAGTAAATTCTGTAATATAAAGCGTTTAAAGACAAAAATGCGTTAAAGAACACAGCACTGAAGCATCCATTCTTATAACTAACACAATAAATGAACTTATTAACTAGATCATAGCTTAATCTGATGCTGATTGTTGCATTAGCCAGAATGTCTTTGAGTAATAACCTTCCAATGCATCTACTGATGACTGCGAATGCAAGTGAGAAGATTAAATGCTCTCATAGCCATTGCTGGTTATAAATTCCTTTAAAAAGTAAGTCAGTGAAAAACGCACCAAATCTGTGAAACAGTGAAACTAGAATAAAAGTAACCAGAGTCATAAATGAGCAATTTTGAGACAGCTCAAAATTGCTAGTGTAGATGCACGTTCAGTTGAAATGAATGAGGCAGGTGTGTCCATTCATGTGGGTGTAGGTTTTGTCATGTCACCCTTCTAGTATATAGCAGGTGCAACTCGTACGTTCTGGCTGGTCCTCCTCTGAGGGCTGGCTCAAGCGAAATGTAGCAGCATTTAGCTGTGAAAGGCAATAAGAAAGGGGTTCTTTGATTCAGCAGTCTCCTTTACGCAGCCAGATCTACAGGACCTTCACTGGTGATAAGTGTGTGGGTGTGTGATAAATAGAGCAAAAGCAGAGAGAAAAGCATGCAGCAGCTGATAAAGATGGTGGGAAAAGTTTAGTCTTTATTGTAAAAACAAGACTCACAATATCACCAAGGTAATCTGGGACTTGTGTACTACATTGCATACCTTGCTTCAATCTTAGTGACATTACATGTCACTATTTTTCTTCAATTTTTATTTAATCTCAAGACATATAAGAGAAAACGATATAAAGTCGCTCATGTTTGACACGCATTGTGTACACGGACGCTAAGAGATTTAGAAGTATATGGATGCAAGTGTATAAAGTCTTAGTGGAAAGAAGGCTCAAAGTCCAGTTATTTGCAAGGTGAGAGAAATAATGTACAAGGCCACACAAATTGGTTTTGTGACACTTGGCAGACTCTCCATTACTCAATGCGCAGATCATAAGACTTTAACTTGTCTAATGTACTATTGCAAGGGAGAATAACCTACTCACCCTTTGAAAGCCATACGTAAGATATATATGTTAATAAAACCTAAAGAACCATCATTTGCATGTGCATTCATGTAGTGCGTATCTTGGCAACGTTCAAGATCTGCATGGGAAAAAAAAAAGTATTTTCCTCTTATATTTGTAAAAGCATGAAGGGAAAGTGAATGGTAGCTCCTGATAATTCACCTTGTTTGAGTTCCTCCTTCAGGCAGCTTTTAAAGAAATATGTTTTATCTTGAAACTAATCATTTGAAGCCCTGACAACAATAAGGGCTAGCACCACGATCTATAAATGCGTCATTCAATAAGGCAGCAATCCCTGACAGTACTGCAGTAAATACATTCCCCAAGATATCGCTGTCTCCTTTACCTATTGCTACTATTTTTATTGTGTTCCCTAGCGTAGACTAAATGTTAGTGCAGCAGAAGACATGGTAGGCATACCAGTATGCTCTGCAGGTACATCGTCATCAGTGTGGTGCAAGTGCAAAATATGGGCTGATATACTGCTTCTGCTGGTTCTTCTTAAATAATAAACAAGGAAGAGTTAAATCTGATGTGTCACCCATGCGTGATATGGTGTATTTTATGAAGTGAAGATTCATTGTGATTTTTACTGTTATAGAAAATTAAACAATGGCGTCACCCCCTATTTCCTTTTTTTTAAATTTTTTTATTGTTATCGTTTGACACTTTCTTCAAGGAATGCCTGCTGTCATTTGAGTCTTAAGCTGACAGGAATCGCAGATGGTGATCACTGGTGTAAGCCAGTAGTAAAAACTATAGGGCGTGTCCAGTATGTCAGCCTTAAAAGACGTCAGGGAAAAAACAAAGCGTGCAGGCTGGACACTGTGTCATCTTTGAGCAATGCAGTGTGTGTCGTTTGACGTAGGCAAGCCTCATAAGTTAGTTTGTGTGCTGCATATTCTGCTACATTTTATTAAACACCAGAGTGTAGGAACACCATGGGATAATTGATGACTGATACATACTTAAAAGAAACAGAAAATTCACACTTAATAACATAGCGTACATTTGACAGATGTATGGTACTGACTTGTGCTTAGGATACAAACAAAGAAGTCATTTGGCAGGAAGAGTCAGGTTTACAGTGTTTACATTCACAGCCTACTGTAACAAAGAGCTGGTAAAGGGATTTGTTTTATCTTATCCGCAAAGATAGTTTTATATGATGCAGAACAGATGAAGGTTATCAGTTCACTGTGACCTGTTTGGACTGCTTCCTCTCATACTCGGTATCTCAATCATAAGGAACCACTTAGTTATGAATGGATCCATCAGTGCTGTAATACCCAAATGCACATTACTGGTAGCTTTTATAACAAAACCCTCCCATACACTCAGCAGTTCTGTCCTCCACAGCTTTTCACCTCTACCAGTATTTGCAAGTCTGATGTCTGTGTTGTCTTTGATTGAATGTTTTAGTGAGACATGTCGTGTGCACTTGCTGATTTGATTAACAAATTTGAGAAAGCCTACATGTTTGTGGAACTGATTTTGTCACGTAGCATTTTTCTTACTAATTAAAATACTAGCATAAATTTAGTAATAAAATCAATAGAGAAAAAATTACCCAGTCATGATAAAATATTATGAATAACCAAGTTTTAGTTTCTGTCGAACAGTGGACTTATGTGTGTGGTTTTACATGGCTGTTTTCACAAGCTGACACTCATTTATTGAAGGAGAAAATGAAATTAGATCAGTCATCCAATAAGATATGGCAGTAAATTATCCTCATTCTCACCACTTCTAAGCGCTTGCAATTAAACTAAAACACCTACTTATCTCTAACTAATTAAATCATATACAAAGCAATTAGATTATTCACAGTGGAAAGAAATACATCTTCTAATCTGTGCTCCAGGTAAGAGAGGCATTGGAGATAATCTCCCAGATACTTATTCAGAGCTCTTTGTAAAAATGTAGTCAGTAGGTTGGTTTCAGCATCACCTCCTCAAAATGGTTATAAATAGGAACATATGAATTATTCATTAAGTGAAATGGAAAAATAAGTACTGTTAATGCTGTTAGACATGAACTTATGTAGTACACGTAAACAAAAAGAAATAATGGGGATTTGTAGCCTGTATAGTCAGAGTCATGCCATGTGTAGACATTCTCTGTATTTCTTTGATAAGTGTAAAAATGTCGTCTATAGCACATGTCAAACAGTGCTGCATTTTCGGCCTGAAGGCTCACAATAAGTTCGCGTTGTATCAGGACATTTCCTATAGCCACCAGGTCGCTGCGGTAACCAGCGCAGACTCTTAGTCTGTCCTAGTTAAAGTGGTAACCTGACTGCAGCACTACTTGATAGAGCTACTTGTTCAAGAGTGATGACAGCAGTAGTCTGTGTGACACCAGGGTAATGGCCATTACTCACTCACTGTTGGTTGTTAGTTCTTTCCCACCTGCCCCCTTTCTACCTCCCTTTTCTGTTCAAATGGAGTGGATATCAGACGAGTACTAAACCTACATGTCACAAGCGCAAACGCTGCCAAGGTACTGTAAAATACAATTTTATTTTTTCTTCTCCCTAAAAAATCTGGTGTATTAGATCTAGCTTGTATCCCCTTCTTATAGCAGCTTGGTCTCTTTGAAACTTGAGTTTTCTTTCTTGTGTGGTTCAAACTTTTGAAATAATTTGACTATTTAAAAACTAGACCTAGGCTCAGTTAGCAGTTGTTTTAAAGGGAATTTAGGCTGCTTTCTGTGCTGCAGCCTTAACTGGGCCTAGTTGCTAGAACATCTTCCTTTGTGCATATACTTAAGAGTTTTGTGCTATAGTTGTTAGCATTGCTGCTTTTTGGGGAATCCTGCATATGTGTCTTTCATCTCCTTGCTGGAATAGTGAGTAGACAACAGGGTTCACTCAACTACCAGAGCAAGATCCCTAATGCCAGTAGACATGGAATAAATAAGCTAGTCTTCAAAAAAGCCTTTTGAAGGCTTCTGCTGTCTTTAAAAAAACGAAAAAACTCCTTTCCTCTCCATTTCTTACTCACTCTTTCTTTGCTCTCTTTATCTCAGTCCTCTGGCAGTATGACTGTACCATTAATGAACCACCATCATAAGCTCCCACTTTAAGGGCCATGAACAAAGCTCTTTGTTGAGACCCAAGCACAATTGATGAGCCAAACAGAGAAGCCATTTATGAACAGTTACTATTATAACCCTTAACAGCTTCTTTCAAGTCCATCACTGTCCTAGTTCTGGATTTATTGAATAGAGAAGTCCTGGGGTCTGTGTCCTCATCTTCTAGTAAATCTGAAGCAGCCGATCTAAAGCCTAGCTGCTATATTACATGAAAATTGGATTGTCTTTGCTGCTCTGAGGTGGCCCTGGATGAAAGGAATCTGTTATTTTTGTCAAGACATAGTCAAGAAAAAAGTTGAAACTTTTCGTCAGGAACAAATGTCACAGTCCCAGGCCAGTTTATTTCATTTTATTTCAATTTTGCCTTTTATTCTTATTCCCAATATTTATTTTTTACCTCTCTCCAGATTTGAGATTCTTGCATACATGAAGTTTCTTTCTTCAAGAGTTTCCCCAGTTCCTTCACTCCTTGCCCATCCCTGTATAACAAATACTCTCATCCTGTGTTTCTTGGTCATTCTTGACAGGCTGTTAGAGATCTAGCTCAGTGAGTTCTTTTTTTGGGTTGTCTGTCTGTCCCTGTGTACATTTTGATCCCCTCCTCTTTTACCTTCATTTCCTTACCTGCTGCCTTTCACTGTAAAACAGGAAGTGTTATTTTACAGCACTAAACATCAGTCAACAATTTTCACTCAAACTTTTGATATTAATAAAACCAGTAAAGTGGAGAAGTTAGGCATACTTCCTAGTTTTTTCCTGTTATTAAGTATCTCCTGTTTTACTGTGGATTTGGCTACAGATAAGTCTCAACAGTTTGAGTTGGCCTCAAACTAGTTTGTTTAGAACTGTGCAGCTCTTATAGCAAATGCCACCCTCCTTTTCACCTGTATGGTGTCTTCTGGGTACAGAGATATGAGGTAAGGAGTCTGTTTGAGATGAAACCAGCCTGGTTGGCAAAAGGCGCTCTTCTAAGAAGAACTGCTCGTTTCCCTTTCTTGTTGATTACTGTCAGTATTTGGTGATGCAATTTTAAAATGACCGGAAATATATGTGACAGAAAACTTTCTAAGAATTGCCTCAAATGGAAAGAATGTCACAACAAACTATTTTTTTATCTGCCAAATAAAAGTGACAACCTGTCACTTTGCCTGTTCTTTTCAACAAACGTTTCTTTTTTCAATCTCTACAAGTTATCCTCATTTCTTAGAGGCAGTCATTCAGCTTGGGACTGGTTACATTCAAAGTGAACAGGTCTTTAGTACAGTTTAATAAGGGCTTGTCATCACATTACCCATAAAGCAAACCTACCCACAGTGAAAGTATCCTGCCAAGCAACAGTAGACCAGTTTAACAGATGCATCAGCACATTTTAAATTCAGGTGTATTAGAGGGAGCTGGTAAATTCTCAAATTTATTGACAGATGTCTTATTTACTATTTATCATTCCATTTTGTTAGGAATGTTTAATTAATAAAAATATGGAAATGATGCATAGTTGTGACACATGTTCATTTTTTTCAGTACTCTGTTATTAAGTAAAAACTGCATTTAAACTTTAAGAAATTAGATTCTCTGCGTAATAGTAATGCAGTTCCATTTTTTCCCCAGGGTTTGTGTGACCATATTAAAGAGTTTGAAACTAGAGAACACAATCTGGAAAATGGCATTTTTCCAAGTACTATACTTTTTTGTTCTTAAGGGTTTTAATTCCCAGTTTGGTTCCGAGCAATGTGAAGAAATGTGACCTTCAGCTGCTGTACAATAGTGTGTGAACCAGACAATAGACTGTGCACTGGACCAGTGCATGAGTTTTCCACCAGTCTTGTTCAAATTAATTTGATTGCACAATGCACTTAAAGGACAGAGACATAAATAACTGTTGAGTGAACCAGTCTCACCTATTGCTCTTAGCTTCTGTAGCAAATGGTGCCTGCTCTCTAGTCTACCTCTGCTCTTACTTGCTCTAGTCACTGCATTACACTTTGAATTGAGAACCAGGAGGAAAAAAAAATAACAGTAAGAGAACTAAATGTAGATATCAGTACCAAATATATCTACAGCTGATGATGCACAAGGAGGGCAACAAGCCAGAGCTGAAATCTGCAAACATAATTTGTGTTGGTTTGATGTGTTTTTCTGTCTGCAGATCAATGCTCTGTGCTGCATTTCATCAAGCCGTTAGACTAGTTTGTTCCTACTTTTGCTAATTTGCACCACATTCCTAATTACTGCTTTGTAAATTTGATTTATTTTGATTTTTCCTGTTACCTAAGTTTTCCTTCTATCCCCCCCAAGACCAATCTCCTTGTGTCCTGTCTTTCCTCTAACTGTTCATGTACTCACTCCTCTCTCTCACTGCCCCCTGCAGCCATCCATAGTCTAAAGCTGAGTCGATCACATGTGGATTGGCACAGCGTGGACGAGATCTACCTCTACAGCGATGCCACAACTTCCAAAATTGCAAGAACAGTCACCCAGAAACTGGGCTTCTCCAAAGGTCTGTAACCACTTAAGGTTTCCTTTATTTATTTACTAGCATTTCTGATGAAAGCACGGTACAGAAACGCATCATATCTGCTTAAATGATTTCAAACTACAATTACTAGCATCCCTTGACTTTACATGCATGTGTTCTACTGTGTAGTATTCAGCCGACACCAGCTTGCTAACACATTGTTATGGTAAGCATATCTGCTAAAGGTTAGCATGAAGTAACTGACTCAAGCCTTACAGATTTCGACATGCACACTTGCATAGGTGGAGAAAAATTTTATTTCAATAAAGTTTATCCTCTTTGCTAAGGATATGCCTATAAAATGTGTGAAGCCAAGTGTTTAGTCAGAAAATCGAATTGATTTCCTATTTCGTGAGCTTGAGCAAGCGTCCAGTGCACACAACGACCTGTATATTAATGCATTTGTAGTTTGCATCAGGTATTTAAACGCAGTGTCCTAACTGGATTAGCCCAGGAGGTCACTCTGTGTCCATCTGCCAAGTGCTTAAAGGGCCCATGTGCTACTGAAAAGATAACAAAAAGCAATTGATGTTTGATCCGGATGGATGACTCTATTCTGATCTACAGTCTTCAAGCCCTACAGCACATTAATCTCTCCTGCTTTCAGGTTATTGGACAAAATGGACCTGGTTATTTCAATTTTACCTGAGATGTTCATTTAGTGCTAACCAGGCAGCAGTCCAGTAGATTCTATTACCCTGCTGTGTAACACATGACTAGACTAGATTATAGATTCTAAATAAGGTGACACACTTGGCCCCATTGACACATTGGCAGCCAAAATCACAGCAGGGTTCCCAGGTTTCACCTACTGGCCTCTTTGGACTCCATCACTGCAGCTTTTTATAGTTTTCTGGTGAACATAGTTGTAATGTGTTTTTAAATACATAAATTCTACAGAAAACACTAAATTTAAATAGCTGGGGTTTTTTTTCTTTTTAAAGCTTGCTTTTGTAAAATGAAACTCCAACCCCGTCCTTACTTGTCTTTTAGCCTCAAGCAGCGGTACGCGGCTCCATCGGGGTTATGTTGAGGAGGCCTCACCCGAGGACAGACCGCCTCAGACTACGCACATTGTCTTTGTGGTTCATGGCATTGGACAGAAGATGGACCAGGGGCGCATTATTAAAAACACTGGAATGTGAGTTGATACCTGTATGTTTGTTCTTTTTATGATAGCAGTACTTTCAATTTCATTCCAATGGAATCCGGAATAAAATTAAAACCTAGTATAGATGAAGTCAAAGGCAATGTAAGAAAAGTCTTCCTGGGACATACTGTGGTGTAATGTTGGAACTGTCACAGTTCATGTTCTCTCTGCTAAAAACAAACAGTCTCACTTCTTGTTCCTCTTTTGTAGATTCATAGTTTCTCTGTGTGTTAACGTTTCTGTGCTCCTAACTAAGCTTACATCGTTTTGTTGTGGTTTTTTTGCAATGTGATATGATGGATTTGACATAAACCTGACACATACCTGTCTGTCTTCTTTTGTTGCCAATTATGTAGCTAGTGCATTTCTGAAGTGTCAGAGTGCATAACTGAAGCACTGCTCATACAACAGTATCCACTAAATCATTCAGTTTTCCCCCCTCCACTCCTGCAGACTCTGTTTTCTTCTCCTGCCTGATTTTCTCTACCCATCTTTCTCACTCTTGGTCTGCTCATGCCGTTCTGTTAATTTACACTTGCGTTGTTAATGTGTGATCACACAGTGTACCAAACCTTAAAAATAACACACATAGACACAACAGAACAGGGAAATGCAGTTCTATAAAAGTAAGTAAAGAAAAATGACAGGATTCATGTTGCAGAATAAAACCAGCTGTTTCCAGGACTGGAAACATAGGCAAAAATGTGGTTACAGTTTTTGCCCATGTTTCCAGTCCTAATCAGTTCCTAATCAAGTCGTGCCATTCTGTCTCAGTGTTTTATATACTTATTGGTTATATAACCTTCATCTGTCCAGATTTCATGCCAGTGGGAAGATGTATCTCTTTTATTTGGATCTTCTATAGAGCACTCGACACATAAAAACAAAACAGTCAGCTTGATGCTGTGTTGATACTTTACTTGAATAAACCTACTGAGTTTCTTTTGTCTTTCAAAAGTTACATCTGGTTATGAGGAACTTAGAAAATTGTAAATTATGTAGAGCTTAAAATGACAGTGCACAATAGACACTTCTGTCTATAGAAATCTGATAAAGTAAGTTATCACAGCATCAATTTCTCTTTTAAACTCACTGGAGTTCAGCTGTGTATACAGTATTGATCATATGTTGCTTAAGCTAGATGCAGTCCTTTCATATGTCTGTTTTTATCTAAAGGAATAACTGAAATAGCCTTGGACCATAGGTGTGGAAGCTTTAATTACACTTGTGCAGAACTGTCACTGTGTCACAAACTAAGGAGTTAAAGCAGATAAAGTACACAGTCAAGCTGCAATGTAAATGTTTACTGTAAACATATTGTAAACATTTCTTCTATCTTCATGTCGATTATAGCGCGCACACTTTCTCAGCCAAGAGAAACAATCATCCTGAAAACCTGATGTATTTGTTTGATTTTTGGTTGCTTCTTTTTACCTGAAGTAATATTAGGTATTTGTCTTTTCAGTCTCTTACATGTATGTTGATGAAGCAAATTGTGGTGAGATGTTCCAGTTACAATGTCCTAAAACAAAATCAGACAGTGTAAACCTGCTAATCCTCAAATGCCAAACCTGACTGTCTTCATTAAAGCCAATCTAAAAGCAAGGAAAACCTTACAAAACTTGGGAAAGCTGTAAAGCAGCACTCAGACCTTTGAGCATTTCCCCTGCACTGAAAGTCCTGTCAAAACCTGCATTAGGTGCTCTTTTCACAGTGCAGTCATTTAAAAGCCTCTCCCAACCTCCATTTATCCATGTCAACAACTGCCTCACCCCTCTCTCTTTGTGTATTTAGTGTATCCTGCAAGCTAATGGTGTCCCATATAGGGCTAATAGCAGTGTAGCCTTTGTATGCATGCTGCACAAGGGAAGCAGCTGCATCAGTAAAATGGGCATCATTCTTTTCTGTCTGACAGTCGTATGACTAAGACTATATAGATTTAGACTTCGAATCTGTCGTTATAATAAACTGCTCCTGAGACAAAGTGACAATGACATGGTTACTAAACAGCAAATGCACTCTTAAGTCCTTCAGTTGTATATCTGCAATATTGTTGTTAAATACATTATATGCTGTTTTGTTATTGTATGTTTAGGCTGCGGGAAGGTGTGAGGAAGATGGAGGAGAAACACTTCTCAGAGCACAATGAGGAACATGTGGAGTTCCTGCCTGTCGAGTGGCGCTCCAAACTCACACTGGACGGAGGTGTGCATGCATGTTGTTGTCTTTTGTGGAAGAAATACATTTTTGATGACTGCATATATGAACAGTCTGTTGTCGTTAGCTCTTTTTTTTGTGCTCAGATGTGGGTATGTTTCTGCAGATACGGTAGACTCGATCACACCAGACAAAGTGAGAGGACTGAGAGACCTTCTCAACAGCAGTGCCATGGATATCATGTATTACAACAGCCCTCTTTACCGGGATGAAGTAAGAGTCATACAGATTCAGTAATTAGAGTCCCTGGTGCTCTCTCTTCGTCTCTTCTCATTATTTCACATTCTCTCCCTCTCCAGATTACCAAGGGTCTAACAGAGGAGCTGAACAAGCTCTACTCACTTTTCTGTTCACGGAACCCTGATTTCGAGAAAAAGGGTGGCAAAGTGTCTATCGTGTCTCACTCTCTTGGCTGTGTCATCGCGTATGACATCATTACTGGCTGGGATCCCGTGCGGTTTTGTTTGCAGGAGCATCGCGTTGTGGAGGAGGACCTAGACCTTCGCTGGATGTCCTATGAAGAGAGGCACCTTTTAGAGCAGCAGAGGCAAACAAGGAACAGGTAGAGCTTTCCTTTGTAGGTTAATGACACCCTGCGCTGTATGTATAGTTGTGTTCAGTTCAGTTGTGTCTGTTTGGATCCTAAAAGATATGAGTTTAAAGCGGTTAATGTCAAGGAGCCTTGAGAATTGAGTTTTGATACTTTAATGGCAACCCCCTCCCCAATTCAGCTTTGTAGTCGAATTAGATAGGTTAAATTTAACATGTTTATTAAAATATTTTTAAAAAATAGCCACTCATACTGAATTTTAATGAAAAGCTCATAATTAAATGTTTATTTTGCCTCCAAAAATCTGATTAATTGAACTTTACTTTACTCCGAATGTTTCCCTTAATCATCTATGCCATAACATCAGTGGCTCAGTGTTACTGTCACTCAGTTTATATCCTTAAATTTAACATCAAGCCTAATATTTTTGTGTGTGTGCGTGTGTTGGGTGAGCAGTTATATATTTATTTAAAATAAATACGCCATGTGCTGCATGCTGCTCTTCTCGTGCCCTATTTTAAAGTTTTATTTTTACTTGTTTGTTTTTAGTGTGTGTGTGTGTGGGCTGCAGAGTAATACATCAGCTGGCCACTGCCCATCACGCTGTGTGCACAGTGCCATTATTGTGTGCACCATTAACTTTGTAAGACAAGAAAATGCTGTAATAAGGTTTATTGATCTGACTGAAAAGGGGACTTTTTGATGACTGGCCTCTTTTGTTAATAGGGCAATGGGTATCAATATTGAAAGAGATTTTCACGCTGGAGTTTAGAAGTTTCAAATTTCTTTATAAGGTGTAGTTTGGGCTTCTTTACTTGCTTCTTGTTGCAGGTTACAAGAGCTGGAAAATCAACTCGCCACACTTGAGGCCTCTAAACCCTCAGCCCCCCCAGCCCTGAAATTTAAGGTACTATATTGCTTTGTAAAATATCACTACTGTAATGTGTAAGAATCTTTGACAAACTTTTAGGTGTTAAACTAATATGTTCTGTACTCCTAAAATAAATGAATATATGTCCATATAGGAAATAAAACGGAAATTAAATGTGGCATTTACACAACAAATAAATCCTGTCTGTATAAATACGAAAGACTTCTACATTTACAGTAAATAATCTTGGCACCTTTCATTTCTCAGGTAGAGAATTTCTTCTGCATGGGTTCTCCTCTGGCAGTATTTTTGGCACTAAGAGGAATCCGCCCTGGTACCAGTGTTCACCAAGACCACATCTTGCCCACTTCAATCTGTAGCAGGCTCTTCAATGTCTTCCATCCCACAGACCCTGTGGTCAGTACCCTTACTGTACCCATCACTGTCTTGTCCTTTATAGATGAGCAGGAAAGGAAATCGAGAAATGGTTCCCAGTAGTTCAGTTCTTTGGAATTATCGGTCTGCTTACCTATCGCGTCGGCTTATCAGTTCCATTTACACTACAAACAGCTGATTTCAGTTCGTGTGTCTGAGGAGGAAATTAGTGGCGCAGTTTACAGCATGGATATGGACGATACTTTAATTTTTATTTACATTCAGAGCAAAAACAACGGCATTTTGCTGCTAACAGCACTTTGGGTCTTTGCAAGCATCTGCACAGACAGCATGCTAATGCTAAGCTAGCCAAAATCCCAGAGTGATGATAAAGCTTTTTTTTATAGCAGGTGCATTTTTCCCCTTCCGATTAATCTGAATTGGCCTCCATTTGCTGTATTAATTATTAAAGTGAATATATTAGCTGATGAAATTGTTACATTTCAAGTTGATCAATCTCCATACAGTCCTACAGCAGTCCATCTTGACACTTTGGCTGCTCTGTGTCTGGGAAAGTGCACTTAAAGGATAAAAGTTAGCTGTGAGAGCAAACTTAAACTCTGCTGGTGAGCACACGTTTTTTCTGAATGCACATGAAATGTGGTGGATGTAATGTAACTGCTTAAGTCAAGATTTAGTTTTGTCTGCATGAATTTAGAGCGCGCTTTGTTCTGAAGAGTTTAGGTTTTTTGTTTTTTCCACTGTGCAATGTCAATAACTCCTGTTTTACTGCCTTTTTAGGCCTACAGATTGGAGCCACTCATCTTGAAACATTATAGCAACATTGCACCTGTTCAGATACACTGGTAACAATCTGAATTTTATCACCCTGCTATTCCTTGAATGGACTCTTAATATTTTATAAGTAATTATTCTCTGACTATTTGTGGTCTGTGTATTCATCAGGTGTAGCGCCACTAACCCCACAACTTATGATGAGATCAGGCCTACTTTTCTCAACCCTGTTAAAGATCCCACGTCGGATACAGAAAGCATCCCCAGCCCCAGTACATCACCTGTCCTACCCCGGAGGCACTATGGGGAGTCAATCACTAATTTGGGCAAGGCCAGCATATTGGGTAAGTCCAACACAAACTGAGCACATGTGTTTATGTTATTACAAGTGTTTGTTATCCAGCATCAGTTATACACTTTGAAAGAATTTAAAAATAGTCTGTAAGGAAGTTTAGAGTAATGACTGTTCAGGATCAAAGTGTCTGTGGTTGTTCACTACTTCAGGATAAGATTAGATGAACCTGAAGGAACAGACTACTGTGGTAAAAGGTAATTGATGTGTTAGTCTGAAAAAATGCTTAAGTGAGTTTTCGCTGTTGAATTAATAGCCATGTGAATGCGAGGATCCAAGGATTTCCAGCTGAACTTTGCATTGTACTGAGATAATTTTATACACTTCACTCGTCTATGTTCGTAATACTGTCGCTGATCAGTGCAGGTTGTTGACTGTTCTTTTAATTTCTGATGACAACTATGTGCTCAGAATGAGAGCTGGGAAAAAAATCCCTGTGCTATTTGTACTTTGTAATTAATGAATCTATTTTATCCTAAGAGGTCGTTGTATGTAGGTAAGATGAGATTTTTTTTTTTTTTTTTAAATCACAGTTTTAGCTCCACAGTGCCATCAAGTGGAAATGAGAGGAATATGCTCCTTTTATAATAATGAATGCATTTATACTTTGAAATCATAATATAGACACTTTACCTTTATCTACTGTCTTATTCCGACACTACAGGAGCAGCAAGCATAGGAAAGGGCATTGGAGGAATCCTCTTCTCACGTTTTTCCCGCTCCAACAGCCAGCCTTCAGTGTCTCTGGGACTTGAGGGTGGAGCAAGTGTTGAAGAAGAGGAGCAAAAGCGCACAGAAAGTCAGTCAGCATACGGCCTCTCTATGTTGACTCGACCCACCTCACCCACTGCTGACACATCCTGTAAGTTCACTTATCCCTCGAGTAATGTTTATATTCTTCTTTTTTTTTTTTTTTTTGGTTTGTAAATAAGGCAAAAAAGTATATCATCCACATCCATCTGTTAACTTTCTTATTAAGTATTTTGTTTTTGAAATGGCACTGAGGTTCACTGTACTCAAGATTAGATTAAATCTAATTAAATTAGATTTAAAGATAAATAAATAATGCAGTAACATAGTTATAGTATAGTGTAGTAATATAGTAATGTTTTTTGTTTTTATTTAAAAGAAAAGGATGTTTGTAGCCTCCAGAGAAAGTGACAAACGGCCTACACCTGCATTCTTTCTCATAGCCAGCAGGGGGCGACTGCTCTTTGCATAAAGGAGGAGGATAGAGTAGATGTCTATGAAAATAAACCTACTGTTCTCTTGATTCGTGATATTAATGAGTTTAGTCTAAAAATATGAAAATGTGAAAAAATACATAAATAAAAATGATGTCTTCAGGGTCATGGTAGTTCTTTTTAGAACTGAAGAAGCTTTGCGGATGAGAGGTGATATGTCTTTTAAGAAATGTAATGAAGTCCAGTCACTTTCTTTCCAAGCTCCTTAGACTAAATAAAAATGATTTTTTTATTTGTAGTAAGTGAAGTTAACGGATACTGGATAAAGCAGAGTAATCTAGGGCATGTCTGCTGTGTGATGAACAAGGCACTACTATCAGCATGATGTGCCCTTGGTTTCCAGGCAGATTCACACTTTCACTCACTACGTGCTCGGTCGACTAGATGTCAGTGTGGCTATGGACATCTTTTATGTGCAGGCTATTGATGTCATGTGGTGTCTGTTTTTAATCATGTATTATTATGCATTTGTCTTGATACTTCCTGTTTTTACTCATTTGTTTTTCTGTCTTGCAGTGGAGCTTGAGCGTCGCATTGACTTTGAGCTCAGAGAGGGTCTGGTTGAGAGCCGCTACTGGTCAGCAGTGACCTCACACACAAGCTACTGGTGCTCACATGACATAGCTCTCTTCTTGTTGACCTTCATATATAAACAGAAGGCGACACCCTCTAACCCAGCAGATACCCCGGATCCAGAGTGAGGCAGCATGCTTTTTAAAACGGAACACAACACTGAAAGAGTGAAAGCATCTCTTGTGACACATAAAGTGACTTTGTTCATTACTTTTTCTTGCTTACAAACTTAAATACGCTAAGAAAATCCTGTCTTTGTTTGGCTCCCGATCAAGCACTTTTAATACTTGGGAATCATTACTTACAGACTCAGAACTTTCTTCCAAACTTTTCATCTTTTTTGTTTGTTTTTTACGTTCTGCACAATTGCTTACCCTGATGGTGGATCCGGTGGACCAGGAACTCTTATTTAGGAACAAAAGCACTGATGCATAGGTGATTGTTGCACCCAGAGGAAGAGACTTCTAACTTCATTCCCAGTGTGAATTTCGACAGCTGAACTGTGTCTATCATGTCCATCGATTTCATGTAAAACAATACCTAAGTCAATTTGCTCAGCTACAGACTCTGTCTGAAACTTTGGGGCACATTTGACTAAGCCTCAGTCACTAAGGTGTCAAGTTATGTCTGATATTTTTGTTTGTTTGTTTTTCTCTGTTACACAAATGCGCGCACACACACAAACATAAAGAAAAGAACATTTTTGGCAAAGTTCTCTTCTTCAAGTTGAATATTTAGCTACTGCATGCTAAGAAACCCATGGGAGCAAACAAAGGCAATGTGTAATATATAATATTTCTTTACTTTCCCACATAAAAGACACATAATGCATTATAATTAAATCATATTATTTTGGCAAATTATTATAATAATTATTATTTTGGTACTTTTTTCCCCTCTATTTTTTTAAATTTTCAATTATTTGAGTCTTGAAATAGAGTGCACCAAATAAAGCCCAAGTAAAACACTAGTTTTATACTGCACAAATAGAGTATAACATTTTCCTTTGTGTTTAATCGTCACTGATAAATAGTGCAGTACCAAGGGGGCAGATGTGTCTTACAAACACAGTGACTAAATTGTATTTACTTATTTTCTTACAGTGTAGAGATCTAAACCATAGTCTAAAATCTAAATCTTACATACTCACTCGAAACAATATCACTATTTCCTCCTAAATACAAGCTTCTATTTTAGGGATAACTTATGGAGATGATTTTTGCCCGCGTGGCTTTGTATTGATGAATCATTGGTACTAGATGTATTTTTTCTTAAAACAAATACAGAAATATTTTTTCCTAGTAACTTTCGGACACTTTGGGGATCTTAAACTGGATGTTACCTCAGAAAAAAAAAAAGGGATTTGAGCTTGTGGCCAAATAACTTGTATGTGTCACCTTTTATTAGATGCCCTGCTCAATTAATGCTAAGGCAAAATTGTGGTTGGCCTGGAGTTAAAAAAGTAGAGTAGATTATTTAATTTTTAAACGTTACCTTCATTATAAAAACAAATGTCTTGTTTGCCTTTTTTTGTCCACAGTTCACACTTTGCTAGCTTGATCGTTTACTTACAAATTCAGTTGAAATAGAAAAGAAAGATGACAAATGATGGAAAATCATAAAATTTTATATATAAAAATATAATAGTAGTACTGATGGGGGTTATTGTAGCTATAATTCCAAGTACTGATTCAGCACAAGTTAGTGCTTACTCACTTTGCATGGTGTCAAATTAATAGTAAATGGATTGTTGGGACAAGAATAATGCTGCGTGCCAACACACATCCAAGAAACTTTATTCTGACTAAAAACGTGTGATTGCTTTTGGCTTTTCTAATGAATAGATTTTATTTGCTGTAGATTATGAAATGAAACTGTCCTCGTAAATATTTATGTGACAGACGAGCCTTTCTGTCATTGTCAACTTTAACTTGTGTTCTGCTTATTGTAATGTAGTAATCAGCTGTTTTTGAATTTGTTATGGTGCAAGCTGCAGCTTTACTGTGCCACACAAGGGCTGTCGCTGACTGTCGTTTCTTTAACTTCTGTGTTATGTGTACAAAGGCCTACTGACTTAAACCAGGCTGCCTTGTGGAGATCACCTGATAGGTAACCAGGAAGTAGTTCAGAAGCTGGGTCTAATAAGGGAGGGGGGTAGTTAAGTGTTACTGTATTTGATCTGGTGGCTCTTGAACATTCATGGGCTATAAATTGCACAGAAACTATTTTAACACAGCCCGTTTTTGACTTTTTATTTATTCTTTACTTCCCGTCTGTTACGGTGCATAAAACAATCTGGATATGTATTTCAAATACACAGTGCTGTTCTTACTTTGCATTCATTGAGTCAAACATTGTGAGTTTCAACACAGCAAATACGTAGTTGTAACAATAACATTGTTTCTAAAACTTGTGTGAAAATTTGCACATTTTCATATTTAGGCTTATTTTCAAATGTGTCACAGGCAAGAAACTGGAGCGCATTAAAGATAATTTTGGTAAAATATGCTGTAAGTTTTACTGTATGAGATTTTGATGTACAACATTTTGAATGACAACAATACATTTTTTTTTTTTTGTCTTGTCAAAGATACCACAAGTATCAGGGAAATGTCTGCTTGTACATTTTTTGTAGGTTCAACACTCTTGTCAATACCAGATTAAAGCCATAATTAAACAGTTTAGCACAGGTGTCCACAGACTAAAGACCTTTATAAATGGCTTTTGGGGAAATGGATGTACATTAAACTGTGGGTGTGTTGAATGAAATGGGATGATGAGGGATATGGTGATCTGGAGAAATGTCCCAGGAGCTGTGCAATAACTCATGCCTGTATTGGATTCTAACTGCCATCCAAAACACTGTATAAATGTCCTTTTTATAAAGTATTCCAATTTGGATGTAATCAGTACTTCATTAACTGTCTTTTTTTTTTTTTTTTTTTACTTTTAATAATCAGAGTAAAATATTGAGATTGGAAACTTTTTTTGTGGAGGAGGACGATGCTTTCATTTCTCATTTCCAGACTGAGGACAAAAGAAGCGTTTGTTCATCTGAAACTCAGACCAGATTCTTTCCGAGGCGCCCCCTGAAGTGAACAACAAAGCCGACTTATAGATTGTGAATAGCCTGCATTGTATTAAAGCTGTTGTGGCTTCCACTGGGGGCGAGTTTAATGCAGTTTAGCAACATCTGCAAAGGCGAGGCTCACAGATGGGACCAGTTAGAGGTGACTCACAAAAGGCCCTGTTGTTCTGTGTTTGACCACAAGAGGTCAGTCATTGGTCATCTAATGATAATACTCAAAAAAACAGGACCACAGTGACCAGCTGTCCAGTGTCCTTCCTCTTAAGTCATTTCCATCTATTGCTCTTACCTAGTTGAGCTATTTTTGGCAGTATTAATATGCTTAAATATATTCATGACTGCTCTGTGTTCACTTATATACCTTTAAGGAAAAATGGAATGTACTACAGCCATCTACAACCACAAATGCCAAAAAAACCCAATAAATGTGAATCCCTGAGCACCCCGCTACCTCCTACCCTTACCTCCTTCACTGCTCTGCTTCCTCCACTATACCTCCTCTGTCCTCATCCACATCACCAGCAGCCAAGCCAGCTCTCCATCTGACTCTCCTGCTCTGCATCTGGCTGACTCAAATGTTTACTCTGCAATTAAAACACAGCCTATAAAAGGCAATGGGTCGACTGCCAGACACTGACGAGGGGGTCGGAGCTGCAAGGAGAGCGGTTATAAATCGCTTTGATGCCGACCGTAGTCTGAAGGCCCAGATTCCTGAGCTGGAGGATTGGAGCTAAGTGAGTTCATCAGAAGACAGAGCCAGAAACACTGATGATTCATGGCCCTTTACTGCATCTCACTTGGAGAGCGGGTATTGTTCTGCTGCTCTGGAGAGAAAGGAGATGGCTGGCTTTCTGATTCCCCCCCCACAAAGTTTTCATTTGATCACCTCACAGAAAGCATGTCTAAAAGCTCCCAGTGTTCCCTTTTCTCTGCAGTTACTGATGATTTATCAGCACTCAACATGTGATGCTTCTGTAATTCAATTAGTTTCTAATACAGTGTAATTAGTGGCTTAGAGACAGTTAAATATAGTTTACAAAAGATAATATGTGATGTGGAATTGGATAATCTAATTAAGATTATTTATTCACTACTGACCTATTTCTTCTTTTTTAGATTTCTTGTCTGGAGTTTTACGTCTTATGCTCTGGTATATTGTTTTCTATTAGATAAAAATAAATATTTGTGAGGAAGTTTTCTTCACAGGCTCAAATTTTACAGCCAAATGTTTCAATGTCAGCAAAGAACAGAGGGATCTGCATTGCTTGGCTAATTTCCACACTTCATATTAATCGACTGGCTGAAATAGTGTTCACTTAAAGAAAATAACAGTATTTATGGCTATCAGTAAAGTGGGATTTTGGAAAAACACATTGGAAAAGTGATGAAACCAAAATTCCCTGTTATTCTGTCCACTTACTCCCATGAATAAAGAACCAAAGATCCCTGGATGCTGCTGCAAGGCTCAGCAGCACGATTGCCATAAAAGGTAGCTTGAGATCTTAACTGCATGTCTAATAACACTACCAGAAACGGATGAATTTCTTATTCCAGAAAGCAAAGCTGTAATAAAACAGCTTGCACATATAGCTCACATTCACACATGACTTATATTTTTAGATGGCGTGATTGTCAAATAAATGTATGAATTTGTCAGACAGCTTTTTAAAACCTGAGCCATTATGTTGGATTTTATGTCTCATATGCTGCATTTAAGATCTAGAATAAGGAAGATGATATATTTGTAGAAGTACATTTTTTTTTCATTCCTGTTGCTTAAAGCTCCAATCTGTAGCTATATAAAGTAGGCAGAAATACATAATGAAAATCACATAGACACACGATTTTCTTCCATCATGGATTTACTAAAAATATTAAAATACTGTACTATATATAGGGGATATACATTACTGGTATATCTATCAGCACCGCACTTTTACTTTTGAGTTCATTTTGATGCTATTATTTTTACCTTTTTTAATGTCCTGTTTTATTGCATTTTAATTAAGTAATAGTTAAATGTCACGCTAATTATTATTTCTACAACGTCGCATAAAGTATCGGGAGGGAGGCGACTCTCTCTCACACACACAGAGGCACACAAATCATTTGAAAGCTTCGAGTGTTACGTGTGTGAGAGGCGACAAAGGGACCAGTACGCGACCAGAAAAGCTCCCAGTATGAAAGGAAAAGTGGGATTGGAGAAGTGACGGTGACGTTATACTGCTGGAAAGAGAGGGAGGGAGGAAAGGGGAAGGCTGGACTCCATTAAGCCGAAGCCTGCGGGAAAACAGTTTGGGATACTTCACTTCTACAGCGAGTTCTTCGGGGATTTCTTTCTTCTTTTTTATTCCTTTTACAGACTTTCTACATGATTTAAAGACGGGGGACTTATTCTCTACCGTGTAGACGACTGCTTCAGCGTTTTTTCGTCTTTGTGAAGGTGAGTGTTCAGAGTTAAATGCTGACCTCAAAGCTGTGCCCGTTCTCTGCTGTGAAATACATAAAAAGAAAACCTTTTTCTTTTTCCTCCTACAGCCTGTGCTGCGTTCAATAAAACGTTCAATATTAATAACTTTTCCGGCTAATTTAAGAGGCTTGTCTGCTTTTAGAGACACTTTCTTCTGAACTTACCGCTTTACGGACCGACTCGGTGAATGTGCAACACGGGGCCGGGTAGTTTGTTGTACGAGCTCTGCTTACATAATTTCCCCCTCTCTGCCTATTTGTAAGGCTGCTTTTACCGTTATTTTTAACAGGTGAACCGGCACTTTTGTGTAAATAACCGCTGCCAAAGGCCTCTGGTTAACTTGTAGCCTGGGGACTATAGCCTTTGTTCTGTTTTTTATTGATTGGACGGCTGTTTTGATCTGTCGGACACTCTCCGATCAAGGAATGACAAATTGGCTATACTGTAACTTTTTGGCGGTCCTCCAACAGCAGAGCTCGTCTTCTTCCCAGCGAGAGATGTGGCGCGATGGAAAAACGGTTAATTCCGTCCTGCTTCACTTAATCATTCTCCAAGGGTCAAATGTTCACCACAACTGTCAGAACTACAGCTTTGCCATAAGCGTGGAAGTGTTTTCAAGAAGTAATTAAAAAGTGGCTGAATGGGGGTTAACTATTATACCAACATTCAGATGTTTGTGGCAATCGGTAAATTCTTTAATCACAGAAGGTAACACTTCCCACAGTGACCTTGCACACTCCACTGGAAACACTGTATCCTGGATTTCCCCACAATGTGCACCAATTGTATCTCAAAATACCCCCTGTCCCTTGTAAATGCCTGTGTTGTTCACCCTAATGACATGATAATGTCATAATTGAAAGCACAGTAGGTTTGTGCTTTCAAGAAATGAGCAAGTAACTTGTTTTTAGTAAACTACTAAAGTAAATGTACCCATGCTAAGGAAATCAGCCTTCTGTTTGAGGCATCTAACAGGCTTCTTACTCAAGGTCTTGAAAGCATGCATTGGGGGTTGCGACACATGCATTTACTTACAGTGGCCAAAATGCTTCTCTTCACATCAGTGTGACAAAGGTTAGATAAGACCTTTGTCCCCCTCTCTCTTTCAGTCCCTCAAACTTTGGCTCTGTTTGGCAGGATGGCGCTGGATGGGATCCGGATGCCCGATGGCTGCTATGCCGACGGGACGTGGGAGTTGAAGATTCATGTCACCGACCTCTACAGGGACGTGTCGCTGAGGGTCACTGGGGAAATCCACATCGGTGGAGTCATGCTCAAACTGGTGGAGAAGTTAGGTATGCGAGTGTGCTGCTTGCTGGAGTGGTTGTGACTATTTTAATCAGCTAATCTAAAGTGTAATAAACAGGCACCGCGTGGTCTTAACACAAGAAAGCAATCCACAGTCAATAAGCAGATACATAATTAGATGTATTCCTGTTGTAATAAACCTTTCCTTGTGTCATCCTGCCACTGGTGAATTTCTGACGTGTGGCTGATTTGTGTTATCTGTTCATGTTTGCTGGGCAGTAAATACTACTTCTCTTCAAATTAGATGTGAGCATCCACACAGAAACACAGCTCTTCTTGTGAAAGCACAAAGTCTATATGGGCAAAGCTTAAAAGTATGGATTTAGGAATCAGAAGGAAAGTCAGAGGAAGGGGATCAGTTTAGAGTCTGGACACAGTTTGCTATTGTTTTTGAAAATAAAGGGCAGCCTGTTGGTTTGCCTGTGCAAATTGCTTAATGAGAATAAAAGTTGCTTGCAACCAGCTCAAACGGGGCTTAATGTTGCTCTTTGTTACCCTGCAGCATATATGGGTCAGTAACCCAAGGTATAAAATGAACCATACACTGTTTCCCTCCCCCCACTCTTTCATGAACTGTTGTGTAGCTGCAGTTATGCACTTGACAAGTTTGGGTGAAAGTAAGCATAAGAGTCTTCTGTTC